CTTTCTCAATTTTCAGAACCGTCGAGTTTGGCTGTATTTTCTGTCCGGATTTCGTTTCCGTTACTGTTTTTCGTCCGTATCTTTTGATCGGTTCAGTTTTTACCGCGTAACTTTCCGTATATTGTTGACGTGCCGAGTGTGCACATTTTGGTTATTTTCCGAAGATTTTTGTCCGGGTATTTTTGATTCGGCGGAGTTTTTCGTAGACTACATTTTTCTGTGAAATTATAAATTTTCTGTGCAGTAGAATAAATGTTTTGGAATGTGATTATCTATATTCTGTGCGAATTTGGTAAATTTTCTTTGCAGGACATTTTGTGTAAATTCTGTCTACTGCCGTTGTGCTGCCCGATTTTTATCTGATTTCTGAATTGCCCGGATTTCTTCCGAATTGAAATGCTATGTGTATAAGCTATAAAAAGGGAGCTATAAGGGGTCTGAATCCTATGAGATTCAGTTAGTGTCTGGGAAATCTGAAATGAGCTCAAATCTGAAATCTGATATCTGTTCTGTTCCGGATCCGATGAATTCTGTTCTGGTGCTATAAGCACATTTGTTCTGGTGCCGTGAGCACAAAGGGAGGCATAAGAGGCCTGGATCCTATGTTTGGATTTTGTTTTGATATCTGTCCGATTCTGTTTTGATTTTTGGTTGAATTTCTGTCTGATGAGTTTGGTTTTGGATTCTGAGAATTTTGATTGGAGGATTGTTGCTTTGTTGAGCTGTTGAGCTCACTCTTGTTTTCTGGTGGTTTTCAGGTTCTGGGAAAGGGAAGGAAGTACAGGAATAGATTCAGAGTCTGATCAGTATAGGTATTTGTTTGTACCTTTTGATTTTTGTATAGTCATGGCTTTTCTGTTCTGTCTTTCTTTCTGTTCAAAAGCCATGTACTGTATTTGTAGATGATTGTTTTGAGGAAAATGAAAAATATAGATGTTTTGTTCCGCTGCATTTGGTGACTTATAATAGCTCTGTTATTCTGTGTTTGTGTGTCTGTTGAGTTGATTAATTTGGAAGATTCAGTTCAGTAACCAAATTCCAAAGCCAGATCCTGGATAAAGAGGTTTGGTCGCGGTCCGGCTCGGGCGGGATCGGTCCCCGTCGGGTCGGGTCGTGACAGCCTACCGAAGTCTCCTCCGGCTTCACTCGCGCGATCAAGCTAGCATCATATCAGACCCTCGTCGCCTGAGTTTGCTGCGTCTCCGCTTTATTGAATCATTTTCTATGGACAAGAAAACCACCTTCGGCTCCTCCACCTCGAGATCGTCACCACCGTGGCTGTGATACCAAATGTAAGATCCTTCACTTGAAAGGAAGAAGCACTTCCTCATGATCTTGAGAGAGGAGCCCACGCGCACTGCTACGGACCACCGCGCCCACCAGCGCTGCCTGCCAAAGTCGCCTCCGGCTTCACTCGCGCGATCAAGCTAGCATCATATCAGACCCTCGCCGCCTGAGTTTGCTGCGTCTCCGCTTTCTTGAATCGTTTTCTATGGACAAGAAAACCACCTTCGGCTCCTCCACCTCGAGATCGTCACCACCGTGGCTGTGATACCAAATGTAAGATCCTTCACTTGAAAGGAAGAAGCACTTCCTCATGATCTTGAGAGAGGAGGAGAGAGAGAGGAGAGGGGAGGAGAGCCGAATACAACAAAACTTTATTTTCTTGGCCGGCTATTACAGCCTAAAGAGCTCCTATATATAGACTTCTAAAGCTATACAAATAGCTACACTATTGACCATACATGTCAAACAAGAAACCTAAACTAAAAATAATCCTAAATCTAGGAACAAATATCCAACAGTAACTTATCTTGGTTTGTTCGTTGAGGGCTTTGGCTACTAACCAAAAGCTCTTCCATTCGAAGCTTACATATGTGATATGTGTATGTTTGACTTAGCTAGGTTTCGTTTGTGATGGCTTTTTTTATTATTTTTTAAAGCAGTTTTTTGGTACAAAAATTAAAAATTTTGTACTAAAAAATTATTTTAAGTAGCAGTAAGTAAATCATCTCAAACGAAGCATTAATAGATCAAATGCCCCAAAAAAATAATTAAAAACTCTACATTTATACGTGCTAAACTGCTAGCTATTCCATAAATTCTAAGATGAATGAGTTTCTGAAAAGTTGATTGATAAAATAATCAGACTATTCGATCAAAACGAATAATATCTCGATGTTTTAAAATTTACCCTATTATAAGAAAGATTTTTAACCGTTATAGGGATCATTTGATGTCTTTCATAAATAAAATATTGAGTTGTATCTTATTAATTAATATATTTCTAGTCTTTTATTGCTTAATTACTGTAAATTCATTTATAAGCAGGGGGCTATGTATTTGGTTAGTTTGAGGAGTTTGATTTACGAATTAATTAAATATCAATTAATTTTGATTGAAAAATTAAAAAAAAATAGACCGTTAAAATTATTTTTTAAATTAAAATTTAATTTGTTCAGATCAATTAGATTTTTTATGAATTGAAATATAATTATGTTACCCCACCGGGTTTAGGTGGGCTGGTGATCGTGCTTGTTTGGGAACCCCCCATCCCAAGTTCAAATCCCCACTCATACGGCACGACTCCTTAAGTGGAGAGAAAAGAACTGTGAGTCCTGCACCATGGGGTTGGTTGCTGGTAGACTCTCCGAGGGATTAGTTACGCTGCCAAGCACCTCTTTTAGGAGGTGGCAGCGGGTAGATACACAGGTTCCACAAAAAAAAAAAAGGAATATCAAGAAGAATATCAAATAATATTTATGTAAATTTGAAGATTTGACCAGTTGAATAATAAATATGTTACGTTTATCTTTCTGTAACTTATTTATTTATAATTTATAGGATTCTTTAATTTAATATTTGAGAAAAAAAATCGCAAATTTAATTTTCGGTTTGATAGATTTTTAAGATTAAAATATTGAATAATGAATTAAAATAAAAAAATAAAAAATAATAAATAATTGAATTAATATTTTAATAACTAAACCAATTTAATTAAATTAATGTTTATTCAATTTGATTTTTGATTTTATCCAAATAATATGCACCCTTATTTGACAAGTAAATTAATGAATCCATAATGAATCAAAATTAGAATATGGGGGCCGTCTTAATACATTATGGCAACGGAAGAGCTTTGCTTTCAAGCTTTTCAAAACATGATTTAAAAAAGGTTTCGTTTGTGATGGTTGTCTACCTATTTTTTAAAGTAGCCTTTTAGCGCAAAAGTTAAAATTTTTATACTAAAAAGCTGCTTTAAGAAGCAGAAAAAATCGTCCCAAACGAAGGCTAAGACATTGTTTGGGACACTTTTCTTAATGATTCTTAAAACAAAATTTTAGTACAAAAATTTTAATTTTTATTCTAAAAAATTACTTTAAGAAACAGTAAGATAGGCGTCCCAAACAAAACTTAAGACTATGACATAATTTTCTTACTACTTTCTAAAGATATTTTTTTAATTAGTTTTTATTTCCCCTCGTTTAAAATAATATTATTCTAATCTCGACTATGAAACCAATTTGTATATTTTTGTATTATTTATATTCTCAATATTTTGAAGGTAAGAAATACAAATATATGAGTTTTATAGTTTATTTTAGAACTTAGATTATAGTTTTGTAAATAATAAAATTTTCAATCTAATCCGTGTAAATCTCCAAAAAAAAAAAAAAAAAAAAAAAAAAAAAAAAAAAAAAAAAAAAAGCCCACCATTTCATAACATATTGAATTGCTCACACATAACACAACACACAAATTTTATATTAAAATATATTTACTTCACTCACATAAGTCAAGCATAAATCTACAAGCAATTCCAATCCAATGGCAATTTTTATTTAAAAACATAGAAAATAATAGTATATCTATTAGAAAACTAGAATTTTAATGATTATTATTCAATTGAATAATATTTAAATATTAGAATGCTTAAATATTGGCAAAAGAGCATAGTAATAAGAAAATAACCCTAACAACTAACCATTTTCTCAATTATAATGATACATCAACAACAACAAAAATATAAGCCTTTATCCCACGATGTATGTGTTCTGGGCTAAATGAATCATTTCTCTCCACGGAGTTTTAAATGGAATAAAAAAGGTCAATTACAATATTTTTCAGTCAAATCTTTTTAGATATGCTTCAACCTTTCTTAACATAGGACAAGTCTAATATATCTACTCTCCTAACAGAGTCATCGGTACGCCGCCATTGTTTTATGTAATCAAATCATTCAAGGCGACTCTCCCTTATCTTATCTGCCACTAGAACTATTCCAACTTTTTAAGTTGACACCGGACAAGAGGGGGCTTGACAACTCCTCGTCAATGATCAGGTGACTGTAGCCGAGCACAACTCCAAGAACTCCTTGGAAACTACCACCTTAATACACTTTATGATACAGAAATGAACAAAGCTCAACTCCAATCTTATTAATCATCCCCTATTACAAGTATTAGCTATATATTTATAGACAAATATAACAACATAATAGGCTACACTCAACCTAAGGAACATTACACATATATAACCATACTAACTACCATATGGAATTAATTTGGCCTGAAGTTAATAGGATTAAGCAGCTTAGCTTCGACATCATGCACGTATACTCATTTCACAATCTATCTCTGTGTAAAACCACTCATCCACCTTAGCATATGCAACACTTAATTTTATGCTTCTCTTTTAATCGACACGATAATATATTACAATAATAAATACTAAATATTTTAACAATAAATATCTAGCACAAATGATATATCAATATAATAACTCAATAACTCTAATGATATAGACAATAAACACCTTTTTACATTGATAACTTAATGTAATTAGCAATAAATAAACTCACAATTAAATTTATGTTCAAATCCCCACATGTAATTAGGTCATTACAAATGATAATATTTTTTATGTAATTGATTAGTATTTGTTTGTTCTATATTACAATAATATAAAACAAAATACTAATCAAATACGAATCGCTCATTTCAATGCTTTCGAGCATTCCGTCGGCTCTTCAGATCTTCGAAGCTCCAATCCCGCCGCATCCCGCCGCTACGAACAAGCCGCGGCTCGCCAACCGCCGACGGCACCACCGTGTGCTTGACGAACTTATTTGACAAGGTCCTCACGGAATTAGCAACCTTATGGCGGCCCTTATTGCGTCGGCCGCTCGATTCAAGCGAACTATTTCGCCGCAGCAATTTGTTGTGCAGACGGGGCGAAGAATTGGCAGAGAATGAGCGTTGGAGTACTCCACAGCAATGGAAGCATTGGTGTTTGCCAGGCTCCGGCCGGTTGACGGCGGGGCTGCCACCATTGTCACACCGGAGGCAATTGAGGCTCATCGGAGAAGGCAAGTTCTAATATTATTGAGGCCTGTGGAATGAGTTAAATAAAGGAAGGGATTGAAAGATTGGCTTTCAGAAGAGATAAAGCTTTATTTGGAGATTGGCATGGAACTGCCAGACTTTTATTTTCAGAAAGGATCAGAGGCTCTCGTTTTCTAAGCTAATTTTGGGAATAATTATTATCTCCGGTCAAATCTGAACGGATATGAATGTATATCGAGCAATATCGAGTGCTTAATATCGAGTTTCAGGTGACGTGGCGTGTGATTATTGGTATATGAACGTGTTCGGTGACCGAACGTAATAATTGCTCTAATTTTGGGGTGATAGAGTTGGAAGCTTATCCCTTTGCGTTGATGGAAATTATAACAATTATTAATAAAGTTTTATTTTTTTCCTCAGGGGATTTTTAGGCCAATTAAGACAAATTCACACACACATCAAATATGAAGACTCGCATTTAAGATCTCTTGATGGATAGCCAAAGCTCTCAGCCAATAGACCAATGTGAGTTGTGCTTATCATATAATTTTACTAGTATGTAATCTTTTATGTAGCACTTTAACTTCTCCCAAACTTAGAAATAGTAGGTTAATAAGATATATCCCAACATTTGTAATTTTTATCATTCTAATAAATCTATAAATATCTATCTCTAAGTTCTCTTTCGCTTTCAATTTTTTCGCTTGTTCTTTATCTATATTTGTGAGTAAGATTTTGATTTCACGCACGAATAAGTTAGAATCCAATATATAGGAATATTTAGTGCGAGTGATATTGGAATCACATGCAGCTCGTTTTAGTTTGTTGATTGGAGGCTCTGGCTATTAATAATAGATTTTCGGTATGAAATTTATGTATGTGTTGTGTGCGAGAATTTATCTTAATTAATGTTATTTGCTTGAAAGCATGGAACGTTTTTGTAATTGGGAATAAAGGCTTAATTATGTTTAACAAACTTTATCCAATTAGAATAGTTATATAAATTTATGGACGCCAAAATTTTATTTTTAATCTTATAATTAAGTTTTGCACGCACATATACAAACATTTAGATTAAAATTTTAAAAAAAATCTACCAGCACTAAGTTTCGATTTCAAGCAGAGATTTATTATGTTAAATGGGCGGTTGGACTTAACTTTTTGGTGTCTGCTTGGAATGGCTAAAGCTTTTTATAAAGTTGATTGTGAAGTCAAATAAAATTCTGGTTGACATTTGAAAAATATAGTAAAAAAATTATCCCAAGTTGTCTTTTAATCTCCCAATTAAAAAATCTTGAATTTAGACTTCGTTTGGGACGCTTTCTTGCTGCTTCTCAAAATAATTTTTTAGTAAAAAAATAAAAATTGAAAAAAATAAAAAATTTACATTAAGCTGCTATCCTAGAAAGCAATCAAAAAGCACCATGGCCAAGTTCATGCCCACCTTCAATTTTATTTTTTTAATAGCCAAAAAATCAAAGTAAGCCGGAGAAGATAAATAATCTGAAGGTCCGAACACAGGAACACCAACCGGTTGCCAGGCAAGGGTCATCCATTGGAGAAAGAACAAACTGCAGCAAAAGTTCTCAAAACAAAATCCAGCATCGAAAACAATAAAAAGAGGGTCCACCAAAGTTTTCAAAACAAGTCATGGCCATCCATAGAGGTGTGTAGGAGGCCTGCCTCATCATAGTCCGTCTAACCACAAAAAAATCAAACAACACCAATTTGCCAATAGAATGATAATGAGCAATAAAACCAACACCGAATTACTTCTTTTTAGCTTTTTGTGTACGTCGCTTGCAACCACTCGGGACATAACGACTCACTTCCAAATTATACACATTATCATCATCTATAGTGTCAATGTGAGTCTCAACATCCCCATATTGAGAAGTAGAAGAACCATCAAGCCAATCGATTTGATCCAAGTACTTGCCCATAACTTGAGCATTCAAATCTAAAGAAGAAATCAGCTCAATAGGGGCATTCACCCACGACACATCAAAAAGAGCATTATGTATAGATACAACACCCAAGTCATTCGGACTGCCAACAGGAGCATCAGATACCAATTTATTCAAGGGGCAAACATCATCATTAACCACAAGATGCAAATTACCATATAAACTACCTGAATCTCCAACAACACTATGGGACACAATGGGGGAAACTACAGAACTAACCAAACAAGGGTTATAACCATCATTTAAAGGCGCAACATGTTCAAACGAGGAGGCAACAACTAACATAATGCCAGCATGCATATCATTTCCAGCTAAAATTCCCTCATTATTAGGAGCACGATCATCCTCCACATTAACAACAACAACATTGGAATTAGGAGACGAAAGGGGACAAGGAACGACTTGATAGCATGCACATCCAACCCATAAGAAATACCAAAAGGAGACGGGTCAACCAAATTTGAAGAAGGGCCAACATGAGCAACTTGGGAAACAATCCATTGACCACAATAGTCAGCTTAGGAAGAGGGGTAACCATCAAAGGGTTAGAAGTCATAATACTAGACAAATCCGCAACATCCGGAGCAAGCACATGAGAAGAACCAACATTCCCCATATGAACAGGAGCATGAAAAACTATAGTCGGAGACACCTTGGAGGAATGGGGGTTAAGCAAACTACAATTATTTTTAGCATGTCCCAGGGATTTGCAATGGTCACAAAAAGAAGGAAACTCCTCTATAACAACCGGTTGAATAAATCCAAGATTGTTCGGACCAATCCACACAGACTGAGGGTATGATTTAGAAATATCCAACTTGACGAGGACCACAACAGCAGACGATCGCGAGCCAACAACAGTAGAATGATCAGTTTTTAAAGGGCGACCAAATAAGGAATCTAAACCGTGAAGAATGCAAGGGGAAAACAAATGCGGTCTAAGGTTTATGAAGGAAACCCAAATCGGAATGATCGGAGACTCTACCGAGATATCGAAAAATGGCAACCATTTAAACAATTTCATGTAGCAATTGGCAACAAAGTAGGAACGATGGAAAAAAACCCTACAATAATCCAAATCGTTAAGAAATTTGATTAAAACGTGCCTTGAATCCAAAACAGTCACAAAACATTCATCAATAAGTTTAAGGTTAAGGAAGAACTTATGAATCGCTTCAAGCGATGGTCTACGAATCAGAAATTTACCAACTAGAACAAACTCAAAAGGCTTGGCATGATCCAAGACTTATGCTTGGGAAATCCACAATGTCGGCAGCCCGCGATGAGTCGTAGTTTTAATATCAGGAAACACATTAGATGAAGAAACCCTAGACAAAGCATCAAGAAAAGAACAAGACGAATTTCGGCCATCTAGAAAATCATGGTCATCCAGCCGAACCTTCGCCATCCGAGCGAAGAAGGACCGAAAGGGGGAAAACACCAAAATTAAAATAAACAAATACATAACAAATAAGAGGGCGACATGAACGCCTAGGGACAAGAGGCCATGGGGTGGCCAAAAGAAACGGGAAGCAAGAGTGGCTGCTAGGGTGAAACCCTAGCAGTATTGCACTCAGTGATGATCGGGTGAAGCTGAAAACTAGCCATGGCATGCCCACCTTCATCTTTATTCCCAAAGAGGGGAGTTAAGTTTCATTTGTGACAGCTTTCTAACTGCTTTACATAGTTGCTTTTTAACAAAAAAAAATTAAAATTAGAAAAAAATGTGATCAAAAGCTGTCACAAACGAAGCCTGGGACGATTTCTTTATGCCTTCTAAAATTATTTTTAAGTACAACTATTTTTTGAACACAAAATTATTGTACTAAAAAACCTATTTTAAAAATAATAAAAAGATTATCCCAAAAGAAGCCTGCTTTCCATACCATCCCCCTTTGGCCAAAAGTCTTCCAATCATCCAAGGAAGCTTCAACCAGCTGCTCTTACGAATTGAGCCTTCATTTTTATGTGATTCGTGCATGATAAAATATAACATCATATATATCACATGTTTAACGTGTTCCATGTTTTATGATTGTTCAGTTTAGGTTACGTTGGAGATAGAAAGAGGTACGATTGAAATGGATTTTGAATTTCTCCAATCAGAAAAATAAAATTCTCAAATTTTTATATTCTAATTTATTTTGAGTGGTTGTAATAAAAAAAATCCCACTTTATTGTTATTTTACTCAAAATTATAAAAATAATTTACCATTTTTTCAAGCAAAATTCAAAATTAGGGATATATTTTTTCATCATAATCCTATTAATTAAGATATTTAAGATCAAAGACATAATAATGAAAGAATGAATTACAAGTTTTATTTATTAATTACTTTCTTTTCTATATTATATGCCTGCTTTGACACATAAACTTGAATTAATATTAGTAATACTAAATAAAAAAAAATAAAATTATAGAAATGATTGTAATTGATAAATTAGAGAACTCTTGAAGCTAACTCAAAAATCAAGTTTGAATAGACCATGAATCTTTTTTCGCTATTTTATTATGTTAAAAGCAAAATTATCTATTAAATCTAATAAAGAAATATCATTTCTAATATTTTATAACCAAATTTTTTTAGGTCTACCTATACATTTTTTAACATAAGTCAAATCTAATACCTCTTCTTTCCTAACTAGGTCATCGGAAAGCCGTCGTTTTATGTGACCAAACTATCTATGATGACTCTCTCCAATAAGGCATATTATTAGATCTGCTCATCCAATGAAAACTTGTCATATGGAATGTACGTGTCCGCGAAATTTTAAGTCGAATGCGTCAAAAGCGCAGGTAAAACGCAGGTAAAGTGCAAGTAAATCACAGTCAAAGCACAGTCAAAACGCACATAAAGCGTAGTCAAAACATAATCCATGTGGCAAGTTTTCATTGGATGATTGGACCTAATAATTTGCCCGCTAATAAAGGAGTTCTCACCAAAACAAAATTTTCATACGAAGTACTTTTTACATATTTAAATATCCACAAAGCTTTCTTGTTCTATTAGTTGAGCATTTTGATTATCAACTAAGAGATTTTAAATTGAGTTATGCGTATATGAATCAGATAGTTATCCCTTAATTCTAAAAACAAAAAAAAATACAACATCACAATTTTAGTATTTACTTATATGCCCGAGAAAATATATATAAGAAAACAAATATTAGTCCACCCGAAAAAACACGAAATATGCGTCACTTTGAATCTGGGTTCCGGCGGAAACTTGGAAGTTGGACGGCTACGAAAATTGCTGAAAGCAGTCGCCGCCGGCAGCAGCATCACCGAGAAGTCTTGCAAATATCTCTTCATTAAGCTGCTCTTGCGATCTAAAATCCGTCATCCTCACTGTAAACTGCTGTAGCATTAGATCCTCCACCACGGAGCAGCTCCCGTAAAGCACCTCGAGCCCGACAGCCTCGAGCGCCGACATGAACTTTGCTGAAGGGTGACCTTTCCTCTTGCTCTGCAATCTGATCATGGCCTCCGTCCTAATCACCTTCACCTCCAATTCAAGCCCCTCCAATTTCCCTTCTCTTCCACCAACTTCCGCAAGAAAGCCATTGACATTGCTCTTCAGAACATCCACTTGAGAACGAAGCGATTCATTACAGGAATCGAGCGACCTTATCGTCTCCTGGAGTTCCGTGATGTAAACGACGGCGTCGCCGAGCAGGGAGGCCTTATCCATCTTGGATACATTGGGCACCACAGCTCGGAGTGAGTAGAATAGTTGATTAAGCTTCTCTCGCCGCTGCCGCTCTGCTTCTACATGGTTGAGAGGCTGGTCCCGCTCATTAGCCGTCTTCCGGCCGCGTTTTCTAGGGCGTCTTTCAGGTTCCACCGTCAAAGCCAGGTCCGAATTTTCCGATCCGGCGGTCGTGAGAAGAGGAGTAACAGCTCCGCACGAAATTGGGTTATCGACAAGGAATTGCGGATTCGAAATTGGGATTTCTACTGAAGGGAAGCTAAAGGAATCCCTAATTCTGCTTATGGTGTCGGGGTTCTTGAATACGACATTCGTGGAACCCAGCTCCACCACGCCATTTGCGACGGGAATGCAAGCCATCGTCCTAATACCAAACGCCGCCGCCTGGCGAGCGCGATCACATTGCGCGGCACCCAATCGATTATTTCCTGAAATCCAGATAGTTTCGGCTGACATTTGCGCTTGGATCAGGAGGGAGGTGGGACCTACCAAGCAATGAGTCATGGAAATTAGGAAGAACCACTCTGTATCAGTTACCTCCTCCTCGATGGCATCATCGACCGAAGTGGAGATAAGAGAGTTGAGCTCACGAAGCACACGCTTCCGGTGCTCTTGCTCCGGAGAGTAGGGGCGGTGCCGGTGGTTGATGGGGGGATCAAGGGAGCCCTTGTAGAAGCCGTCGCCCCAGGAAAGCATGGCGTTTGAAGAAGAATGCCAGAAGATGGCGTAGGTCCAGGAGTCTGAGTGCGATTCGATCAGAGCCTGAAGGCGGAGCTGAAGAGCGTCGGGTGGGGAGCTGGAGGTGATAGTGGAGTCGCAAGAGGAGACGGTGGCGGAGGGAAGAGGGCATGGAAAGGTGTAGGGGTTAAAGGGATCGTCTATGAGGATGGAGGAGGCCATGTCTTCGGGCAAGACGATCATGTCTGCGAGGTGCTGAGGCTGGAGTGTGGGAGTGTGGAGAGAGCGGAGCGGTGGTGGTGGAGGATTTGAGGAGCCGAGGAATCCGGTTGAGAACGAAGGTTCGACTACAGGTTCCGGACCTGAATTGAGGTACGGAGGCGCGTTTGAATTCAGTTTTGAAGTCCGCAGCGGTTATTTTAGCCACGTGTCATAAATTTTTGTGAAACATTTTTTTAAATATTCTTATTTATTTAACTAACATAGATAACAATTTATTAGTTTAGCCGAATATTTTTAAATTAATGGGGAAATAAATTTATTTTATAAATAATTATATATAATATAAATTTAATTTATAGAAATTTAAAAATAGTAGAGAAAGTTATCATAAATTTATATTATACAACAAAGTATGTTTTACTAGCTTTTTCCGACATGCAGCAACTTTAATGGTTTAAGTAAAATTAGTTGTCAATATTGATAGCTCTCTATGATGAATGATATGGAAAACATAGTCAAATATGAAAGAAATTATTATGTGCGGAGTCTGGACGTAAAGTTACGTCTAGACATGTAAGGGTACAGAGTGTATACACATTGTGTACAATCACAGTCAGACGTAGAATTACGAGCGGACTCCGCACGTAATAATTTCTCCAAATATGAATCATTGGAGTGAACAACTTTGAGTAATAACTTATATGGCTTGATAGACATTTATCATATGTGATGAAATTGAATGCTTTGTACAACCAACTAACAACCCTCTAATGTTGAGAATTTGTCTATTTATAGGCTGATTTGATCATGTATTTGTTAATACTATCACAACTCCTTTTTAATAATCAAAATGTTCAATGTGCATTAAAGTTTTGTTTAATTTAATTTAGTTAATATTATTTAAAATTATAGTGTTAATTTCTTTTAGGTTAGAGCCAGAGAGTGGAGGAGAGGTGTTAGCTACCCATCATCAGGCTTTTGTGGTTTATGGTTGTTGGCATTTGTCCATTTATCAGACTTAAAGGTCATTTGTTTGATATGTATTTTAAGAGTAATTAAATTATAATATTTTATTTTATAAGTTAATGAGTTGTTTGATTAGATACAAATTTTAAAATGTACAAATAGGATACATTGTAAATACAATTTAGAGGCAATAGCAAATGAGGGAAGCAAGGGGATAAGGCAAAGAGACGGGCAGGGGAAGGATTAATTATTCAGTGCAAACTCCTAACGCCGTTCGAAGACCAATGAGAATGCGCTACATCACCCCCTTGTTCGTTACCGTGGTTCGGTACTGCTGATGTGGTGCATTATGGTTAGTCTCGAGACGGCGTTCTGCGTTCGGTCTCTGCACAATAATTCTCCAGGGGAAGGGGCTAGATTGGCAGCGAGGCGAGCACCGTATATGTTTTACCTTACTTTTCGGCACTTTCCATGCCAACCTAAAGAGCAGTATTCAGTACATGTTCTATCTTACTTTTCTGCACTTTCCATGCCAACCTAAAGGAAACTTGTAAATACTGGATAAAAGATGATTAACAAGCAGAAAATGAGTGTAGAATATGTGTAATGCTATCCTCTTTCAGCTAAATCTACATGTAAAATAGGGCCACAGCAACTATTAACTAATTAATATTATAGAAAGATATGCAATATAAAAAACTTACCTGATATAAAAGTTTGGAAGATACAATGTTTCATCAGCTGTAAAATATCTTATTCAAATCTGAGATGTTTTTGAAGTATAATGACTTGATCAATACATAAAACATACAGCATTTGACTAAGATATAAAAGTTTAGCAAATAGCAAATATAAATACAAGATCTTTAAACCAAATATAAGACAGTTAATCCAAGCATATATAATATTTTTCACTCTATTTCATCAAATATAGTTTATAAACAAGATATAATGTTTGTAAGGCCATTAATTTATCACATTTTTATAATAGTAACTAATAACTTTGAATTTAAGCAAACCATCATATAGGTTGCAAACCCCATTTTCAAGCGAAAATTCATTTGGGGAGTATGGTATCTTTCATAGGATATACCTACATAGTGCCTATAATCTTACTTATGGTTACTTCTCTTCAAAAGATTACCCAACTTGTTCAGCAAAGCCTTCTTCACTTTTACCTCTTGAAACCTGATGAGTTTGAGTGAATCGCCATTAAAATCTTCTGATGGCAGTATATTTACCTTTCTGAAGCTCCTGCTGGCCATCCTAGAATCCAGTTCATCATCTATTGATTTAACATCACACTCATACGCAGAGAAAGGCAACTTAGACCCCATTTTCAAGGTATCAACTTTGGCAGTTCGAATTCTATTGGCATTTTCTTCTTTAACTTGGCCAAGATAACCTTGCATGCCTGAACTGGCCTTTTTTCTTTCACCATAATTTGCATTGGTATCAAGGACTTCATACTCATTATCACATTTTGATAGAACACTATCCTTTGGCTTAGTTGCTTTGGGTTTTGCAAGAAAAATAGATAGCTCTTTTATCTTATCAATACCAGCAGTTTCTCGTGCAGGAATGGTAGAGTTTTCTGATCTAACATTCTGCAGTTCATTGCCCACATTGAGCGAGCTCTCCTTGAAGCTGAAGGGATCGGCTTTTGCATCTTCTGCAACCCCATTTCCAGCAGTAGCGGATTCAGAGTCGATTACCTTGTTAAGCATTAGATATTTATCATCTTTTTTAGCATTTACTTGATAGTGTGCTCCTTTCCATGATTTGGATTCAGATTCTTCTTTCGTGCTGTCGATACTACTACTCACATTAAGCTCTTTCACATTCCATTCAGCTTCAACGCTTTCAGCTTCAGTTTGATTTCTTTCAATTGATTTTTTGAGGCAAATAATCTCATACCTTGCTTCATCAAGCATAACTTGATAACTCTCTTCAGTGTTCTTTAGTGCTGATCTCAAATGTTCAGTCTGAGCATAGAAATCTTCTATTTCAGTATGCTTTTCCAAAAGAATCTCTCGTGTTTCTCTGGCTTCTAAAGAAACTTTCCGTAAAGCTGAAGCTAATTCTTCCATGTCTTTCTTATTATTTTCACTCTCATATCTAGCGGTTTCAAGCTCCCTCATAAGCTTTATCTTCTCCTCAGACAAGCTTTCAATTTTAGAGGCCACAATCTTCTCATTTTCTGTTGCAAGTAATTTCTCCTGCTTCAAGTTTTGAAGCTCTGATTTTAGAACAACAACTGTTTCTTCCGTTTTCGATGCTTCAATATGTGCTTCCCTCAAAAGTTTCTCTGAGTTTAGAAGTTCTTCTTTGTGCTGAACAACTTCAAAGCCCAAGGTATTTACCTTCTCTCTAAGTGCGGCAAGCTCAGATTCTGAATCTAGCAATGCTACCTTCCAATCATTGAGTTGTTTGGAGACCAAATATGACAAATCTGTTGAGGACTTCTGAGACAATTTGGCTTCCTGTAGCTGAACTAACAACAATTCCACCTGCTTCTTGAGTTCATCAACAAATTTACAGGCATCGAACTCACCCCTTTTTGCAACATTCAACTCAGTATTAAGCACTTCTAACAGTAGTTCCATCTCCACCAACTTTACATCTGTTAACTTTGTCTTCTCAAGTTTAGATTTCAAGCAATCAATCTCTAAATTCATCTTCTTAACAATTTCCTGATTCTCATTGCTTAAACTATCCATAGTTGAATCTAATAAGGCATTGAGCTGATTAACTTCTGAGGAAAGGATGTCAACTTTCTCTGCATTGATCTCAGCAATTTTCCTTGCATCATTAGAATGGCAAATGGCTCTATCTCTAGAGTCAGAAGTCAATGTCAATTCCTGCCTCACCCTTTCTAGCTCCTTTGTTGTAGAAAGTAATGATAAAACATCCAAATCATGCCGGTTTCGAACACGATCAATCTCGTTTTGGCATTCCTCTTCCTTTTTCCGCGCAGCTTCAATGCCTGCCTGTTGTATCTTATCTGCCCTGACCCTTGCAATCTTAGAGCTCTCCTCAGCCATGCTTCGAGCAGCAAGAGCTTCATTAAGCTTGCAGTAACTTTCGTCAGCTGTTCTGTTTGCATTATCCAGCTCTTTAACCGCTTTCAGCTTCTCTTGCTCAACTGAAGCCAATTGCTCTCTCGTCCTCCTAAGTTCTTCCTGCAAAACATCAAGTCTTGGCTGCAATGTTGGTGTTTTTGTTGGCCTGGGTAGTTTCTGCAACCAAAATAGATGGAAAAGTTCTAAATGCATCAGAATGAAATGAAATGGACATAATATAACGCAATAGAATTTAGAATATCCATTCCATTACATCTGCAGATAAGATGATCTTCGCTGAGCGATGCGCGGTAGGCGGTCTCGAATCAATAGATTTTGGAGAACCATCAACACAACTGGTGAAACTTCTGAGTAAAACAGGTGAGCCAGATGCAGATTTTGTGGATCCTCCTCTGACCAATTTACTAATCCTAGGAGTAGTTTGAGTGTTTTTTCCATTATGAGCATCAGATAAACTAGATCTGCTTCACAAACACAAAAAGATAATCCATATTACTGCAGTAGAAACAAATTTAGAGGTTTTAGTCAACTAATCTATAAATATGAAAGCCAAAAGAAAAAAAAGTTAAAAATTCAACCACCAATATACACAATATCCATTATGTTGGATCCTACTAAATCCCATAACGATTCAAGCATAAATCAGTAATCTATAGAAGCAGAGGCCGCCTAGAAAGCAAGCACTAAAGATCATCTTGGTAAGGAACCAAACGCAAAAGCAACCCAAAATGGCAAGGAATGTGCATTAACTAAATCTTCAAACTAAAATAGAAAGCAGAAACAATAAAAAAAAGAAAGCTTTTGAAGGAATCCATAATAACTGTTCCATTTAAAGAAGATCCAACCGACAACATAAACTGAAAATTACAGCAAAAATAAAAACCCCAATTCCACCGACACGAAAAGGCCAACAAACCAATCTTCAACACAGCAACACTCAACAAAAGCTCCAACAAAACCACCAATACGCAGCAGAAAATTGCATCTTGATTACTAGAAAGTAGAGAAGAAAACAAACAAAAGGAAGAAAAACAGAACCTCATTAGATCTAAAAGTTGGAGAATCACATACTTGGTCTTCGCGGTGAGCATTGTCTCGACGAGATCGATGGAGAAGAAGAGCACTGGATCAGAGTGGCTGGCAATTGAGTTGGCTACCTAAGTGTAGAGAAACATGGAAAAATGGGGTAGAAGAAGCCAAAGTTCATAAATGATTGGTAATTTATTGAGAAGAGGGTAAAAGTAGGTGGTCTCCGGCAGATAGCAGATGAGAAGTGAAGATGAAGAAATCTTTTGAAGTATTGAGGGTTGGAGAAGAAAGTGAATTTTGTCAATTATTGCGGTCGGTTATCTCTCCTAATCTCCCCCCACGAGGGCCACGACTGCATGAAAAAAGCGGCTCTTTTTCTCTCTCTCTCTCCCCCTCTCTCCCCCTCTCTCTCCCCGTATATATATAAGTATTTAATTAAAAAATAATTGAAAGATTTTGATGTTATATAAATAAATATAAAAATATAAATATTAAATATATAAATTAAAAAAAATTAGTATAATTGTATAATATTATATGCATGCAAATATATATATATATATACATGTGCGGATCCCCATTTAGTTGGGGGGTGGGGCAAATGCCCCCCCTCAAAAAAAATTTTTTTTTTAATTTTAGTGAGATATTTTGAAATATTTTGAGTATTTTGGGTATTTTGCCCTCTCTCAAAAAATTTTTTTGCCCTCATTTAATCAATCCTAAGCATTTTTGCCCATCCCCCACAAAAAAAATTTTTTTTGCCCACCCTGAAAAAAGAAGCTGGATCCGCCCGTATATATATATACCTACCAAATTGATGTTTAATAACATTTATATATGACTTATCAATATGAATACAATTTATTTCTGAGAGATGTTTTTCAATTGTATATGATAAGTCAGTATCATATTTTTAATATACCAGCTTGAAAAGTTCATCTAAATACTTTTTGATTTTTTTGCCCTAAATTTGTACAATTTTTGTCTCACAGTGAAGGTGTGGAGAGTAAAATTTAATTTCAAAATATATAGATTGTGAAATTTCTTAAGTAAAAAACTTAAATTCTTAAACATCGAAATATCTTTTGATATAATCGTTGAAGTTTGATTAAAAAACTCAAAAGTTAAGCGGGCTCATGCTGTAGCAAATTTGAATAAGTGATCTCTTGAAAAGTTATATCAATTAAACCGTGAGAGCATTAGACCGAAGCGAATGATTCCTTAATAGTTAAAAGTTTGGGCTATTATAGAATGTTATCAAAGTAATACACCACCCGGAAGATGGAAAATAAGTGCCATTAGGATAAAGTGTTAAGCTATGGGGACCACCTCTTGAACCTTATATGTGATAAAATACTATATGATGCGAGCCACCATTTTAACTTGTAGGGGTTTTCTTTAGAATCCTATATGTCTGGTGAATAATTTTGAGATAAATATAATGATAAAAATATTAGTTATTTAAATGTGAAAAATTGGGAATCCTTTTAATTTAAAAGAAACTAAACTCATAAAAATCGAGGTGCCTAGCGGTGCCATAGTAAGAATTTCATTAAGAAACTTCAACTTTAAGCATGCTCATGCGTGAGCAATATGGGGATGAGTGACATTGAAAGTTGCATCAACTGGATAAAACCGTGAGACATTGAGATGGAAGCGAACAATACCTTGATAATTAAAAATTATTGTTATAACACAAATAACCCCTATGTTGGTGGTTATTTGCATATTTTCATACCTATATTTGGGTGAAAAATCAATTTTACATGAGGTTTATATGTATATTTCCAGCATTTTATGGGTGTAATGAATAAATTTTGAAACTATATAAGAGTTATGTGCTTAATTCAGGTGCTACATAAAAATAAGAATCAACATTTTTGTTTTGAGTCCATTCCAATTCCATCTTGATGTCAAGTTAATTATGAAAGAGTTATATTATTAAATATCAAATTAATAAACAAAAAAGAAAACAAGTTGGAAATTTTTTGTTTTAAAATTTAATGATAATATTATAAACAAGAAAATTTGATGTCAAACACATGATTTTAAAAATTGGAATAAATCGGCCGGTTTGACCTTGAACCAATTCTCTGGCTGGTTTGATCCAACTAAACAACCGCTTCTATGTTAAACTATTCAGAGTCGGTCGAAACCGGCTGTTGAATCGAAGAACTGGTGAACCGATTCAAATTTTCGTGAAAGTCTAATATAGATTAATTTCTAATATTTTGATGTTGATCAAATAATTATAATGAAGAATGTCGAGGTTATAGCAAGTTCAATCCTTTTTTAATTCAGGATTTTTTAACTTAAAATTATTTGAAATAGTGAAGTACTATGAAGAATCTAGAGGTTTTTTGAACTTAAATATTATTTTTATTTAAAATTAAAAATCTTATAAATAATTAAAATGTAATGCCCTAAAATTTTGAATTAGAATCATATTTAAAATATTCAATTGAGAAGTATTGAGATCTAGAATAATAAAAATTAGATTAATAAAATAATAATTATTATAATATTAAATATTTATTATGTCATTCAATTAAACTTTAATTTAATTTTTTGAACTTATAATCTCACAAATAGATAATCAATCACTATCAGCTATGCTATAGGACCGAAATTGATAATCGAATTTTTATTACCGAATAATCCAAAGACTTTTCGATCATAAGAGTTTATTGACCATTCTTTTCTTCATTACTTTCTCCATGCGTAGTAACTTTATATTGTCTCTTTAGTCCAACGGAAATTATTATGTATAATCATCGGACTGTTCAGAGGCAAATCAGGATATGACATGTCATCTGATACACAACGATACATAATAAAAAAGTGACGTGGCCGATCCTGATTTACCTCCGAATGCGTCCGATGACCACACCGAATAATTTCCCTTAGCCCGCAGGGCAACAATCTCTCTTTTATTGTGTTCTAAGAGTAATGATGCTTTTTTTGCTTTATCATGTAAGATTAAAAACATGTTAGGAACTCATTATGGTTGTCATCCTCCAAATAATCTGAACAATTTTTTAATCTTAGCTGAATATTATTTGAGTATTATTAGCTGAATTTGCAACAAAGATCTACCAATCCATCATTTCTTCATAATTTTGATTAAGTACTAAAATGTCATCATTCTAAGGACAAGAAAAGCTGGCTGTAATGATCACAAACAAGTTGTCACCTCCTCTAACTTAAGTTTTATATGGAAAAATTAGGCTTCATTTAGAAGGGCTTTTTTAATGTTTCAAAAAATAGTTTTTTAATAAAAAATTAAATTTTTATACTAAAAATTTACTTTAAAAAACAAAAAGAAAATCATCCCAAAAGAATCCTTAGCGACTTAGCCTCTTAGCTTCAGAGTAGTTCGACGACAAAGGGCGGAAGGTTTGCACTTAGAATAAGGAGTAATTTGAGAGCGAAGTATATAAATTTTTTATTTTATCAATGCTCCTTCTATGGGTTTCAAATTACACCTTTGCAACAATTAATTAATATTATTTTAGTTAGATGAAAGTCATAACACTTAAATAGACAATATTTTTTATTTTTTTGTAGGACCTCATTATCTGATACTTTAATATGAAACATCAAATCATTTCAAATAATGACACATCTAATATTGAGAACACTAAATTTCCTCATCATTATTAAATAGATTGGTGGCACTCAAATATTTATTATCTCAAAGTAAATGGACTAATGGTTTTTTTTTAACCACCAAATATATTAAAGAATGAAAGTTACAAAAGAAGACCCCACAAAGGCCACATCAAAAGCTTATAGGAAAAACAACAATACCAAAGAAAAGACCAGAATGATTAGGGGTGATATCAACGGACTCAGACCAACTTCGGGTAGCCAGGGCGTGGTCATCCACTGGTAAAACACAAAATCGAAGGCCCAACCAAGTTGCCAACCAACCCTGGCCATCCACGACGCTTGCAGCCTCGCTGCTTCCTCATCGTCCAATCAAAAACAATTAGCATGGCCAACCCACCAACCACAAATGCAAACCAACGGTAGAACATCAACAAGATCCACAACCCAAAACCACTTAAAAGCAATTAAAACAAAACCATCGCATCAACCAACAATCATCGTCGACGCCTACCCCTCCCACGAGATCTACCACGAGAAGCAGGAGGTACCAGTGGTTTATCGCGCAGCAAATTGAAAGAATTACTAGGATCTCCATCATCAATAGATTCCACAGAATCAGAAACAGACTCAGATTCAGACCTGTAATCGTGAAGCCAGTCCAGGTGGACTCTAAGATCAATGCCCGAGTTATCCTTCACATTATACATTAATCCATTAGGATCCATAAAAGTCACTAGGACATCCACAAAATCATTATGCACTAAGCGTTCGTTATGAATGAGACTAGAGTTACCAGAGACAACCACCTTACACACTTCCTCATCCAAATTTTCCACGACAGCAGACTTAACCGGGCCAATGAGACTAGAGTTCTCAGAATTTAAAGATTGGCCAACCAAAACATATCACATATACTAAAGGAACCTCACGAGGGAGGCCCTTAACGCTATGACAAACACGATTGGAAGTCAATTTCATACCAACAGGATTAAACGATTGAGTGTCGGGGGATAGAATAGCGGCAAACTCAACACCATTAGCATCATCAACCACCTCAGTTTCCACAGCAATTTCCACAGCTTCTGAACCGACCAAAACAGGGGAATCACAAACCGGCTCGGGGAGAAATAGTAGCACAAACAATACCACCTAAATTATCAATGTCATTATTCACAGCCAAATTGCCACTATCCGAACTCAACAACGCAGGAACTACAAGAGGTACAACAGCAGGTAAGTTACATTCCAAAGAAACAGGAGCCACCTCAACCACAGGCGACACAACCACACGAGGCTGAAGGGAAGGGCACTCAAGTTTTAGGTGGCCTAGAGACTTGCAATGTGAACAATAAGCAGGAAAGAGATCCATAATAACTGATTGTATATAGCCTAAGCTTTCGGAACCCAACCAGAATTTGTCAGGATACACCTTGGTAACATCCAATTCCACCAACACT